ATTCACTCCTACCCACTTTTAGGGATAGAAGAGAGGTAGTTCCTTAAGTACTGACTCCAGGTCTTGAACAAGGGGCCACACCCTCTCATTGGCCTGAGAGGGATTCGGTTTACTGGTTGGACCACAAACCAATTGTTCATTAGAGGATCAGTGAGACATAAGAAACAAGAAGTTACTTCAGGGGTAAAACAGTAAATTGACCTGCTCTAGTTACGAACAACCTGTGAAGGATCGACTTACTAATCATGGTTATATCAAATGGACAGAAATATATCTATAGTGAGGGGAGTGCAACTACTAGGCTATAGTGGAATGTCTTAGTAGTTAACGAATGTTGGTTGACAAGGTTAATGAGTTTAACCGGTTAATCTTGGATCGTTGGAGCCCATGATCTATATGTCCATTAGGTTCCTCTGCTAGCTCATATCGGACTAAACCATATAACAGTGTGGTGAGTGAGTTCGAAGTGGTCGAATTCAAATTAGGGAGAATGCGCTACATATATACTATATATTTAACAACATTTTTGTTTTATTTACGAATTAAACAAAAAGAGAGAATTTGAGATATTTAAATAAGATTTAAATATCTTAATCAAATATGCATTGGAATTAATTGGGATTGACATTTGAATTAATATTAAATATTAATTAAATAGTTTAATTAATCATTTAATATTACTTTAATTTGAAATTAATAATTCAAATTGATTGTTGAATCAAAATGAAGAAAGTTAAAATGTTGACTTCATTTAATGAAAAAATCCATGTTAGTTGAATTTTGAGGTGTCAAAATTTGGTTTAACAAACTTGATGCTTGCCAAATAAACCTCCAAACTTGAGTGGAATTTTGAGTTTCAAAATTTGGTTAACTCAAGCATGCATGCTTGCCACATAATCCCAAACATTTGAGTTGAATTTTGAGTGTCAAAATTTGGTGATCTCAAATTGATCATAATACATGAAAGGGTGCTTGTTGTTGAAAAACCTTGAGAAAAATCTCTCACAAACACTCTCTTCATATATACAAACTCCCTCCCAAGTTTAGTCACTCACTAGATTCCACAATCCCGTTCTAAGGCTGGAGGATAGTGGAGAAGACACTAGTGGTGGTTCAAAACCGGTTCGTGAGGAAAAAGGAATTTGAACTACAAAAGATTAGTATTCAAACTCATTAAGTTTTAATACTTATGAAAATGCTAGTTATTACTATAATTGATGTTCTAAAAGTGCCTAAGATCCAAATTGCTTCTGCATGTGTTATATTAACACCTTCACAGTACTGCTAACTATTTAGAAGGAGTCCCCTCAAGACTACCAGTAGTTTCGGTTGTAGAATCTCGTGCTAGTTTAGTTAGGTTGTGGTTGGATTGGCTGGAAGCGAAACGTAGGCGCATTAGGTTAGGTGTGTGTTGACCATGCACTCTCGCAGAAGAAATGGAATGTTGTATTTCTTATATAGGTGGTGTGGTGATTGACCTCAATGCTAATGGTTATCCCTAAGGTTCAATGAATGAATCAAGCTATGATCGTACCTAGGGATGATGGTCTTCCTCTTCTGTCTCTAAGCCGGCCATAATAGAATAGATAGGCGAAGCTGCCAATAAATAGCTGTCTGTTCTCGCCTATCGATGATAGTAGGTTGCTTCCAAGCTCAAACCATTGGAAACGGAATTGCTACTTTCTTCTTGTTATTGATAGAATAGAATGGTATTCCCCGCCCCTGTCAAATCTAGTCTAGGGAGAGAACTGGAAGAGAGAAGGAACAAAGATCATAGAAAAGGATTATCAAGTCTAATGGAAGAAGAATGACGGACCTTTTGAAAGAATACAAGGATGCCTTCCAGACTTCAAAATCTAACCCAAGCTAACCCACGGGGCGGGACACAACCGAAAGGCACTAGACGAACTAACAACAAGCGAGAGAAAGTGCCCCTATGTGTAAAACCTTGCCGCAGGAGAGTCTTTCGCCAATGAGAATACAGAAAGTTTTTGGGCAAGACAAGAAAGGAACTTGCCAAAGGGATAAGAATAGATTGCTGACGATGACTTGGTTAAGGGAATCTATGAGAGAGGGTTATCAAATCGGGTTCCGACCGAATAGATCGCAGAGCCAACGAGTTCAGTCGAACAGTGTAACGAGGTTAAGGGAAGAATCAAGCTTGAAAAGAATGGGCATAGGCTTAATAGTGAACATCGCTTCTCGATATGAAATCAATGATTTCAAAGAAAAATGCCGAGAGAAAGAGACTGATATATTGCGTTGCGAAGAGAGATCGAAGACGCAGATTTTCTGACGCTATGTGGGCACTGGATGGAAAAGACAGAGAAGAGAACAACCCACTGGAAGGGCATACCTCAGGAGCACCCCCGACAAACATCGAGATGCATGAAGCCGACCTATATCTCGAAAGAAAAATGCAGGAAAAGAAAATGATAGATGAAAGCCAAAATCCGGGGAGTGTGAGATACGCTGATGGGGAGTACGCAACCGAACACAGGGTCTTCCAACAGTGATAGCTGCCCCCACCAGATGGGTCGCCCAAAACCTGGAGCTAACATTTCAATCGGAAATCCACATCGGATCACGACGAGACGCAAAAGGTAGACTAAAGCTCCGGATCACAAAATGCAAGACAACAAGGGGCAAACCAAGCGCTTGTGCGAAAGAAGAAGCAAATCAAATGGAGACATGGAGAAGAGGCAAAAGAGAGATTTTCGAGCCTGCAAGTTGCAAGCAACAACGGTGGAAAAGCTGTTGCGCGCTAGCTTGTAGTTTAGCGGTCTCGTAGGGGTGCCCTTTTCGAAAATAGATATTCTTTCTAAGGTCAGCTTTTTGGAACCCTAGTTTTGGAGTTTTCCCCAACCTATACCCTTACTAATAAATAAAAAGGAGCTTACCTTTTTCAGCTGCATTGCACTGCTGCATAAACAATGGATCCGCTCGCTGGGCTGGATGAGCTACCTTCTATCTATCTTGCCTCTGTACTAACTAGTAATGGAGTGGCTTGCTACTTTCAATCATCAAAGGAAAATAGAGCAAGGGAGAAAGAAGTTGTCCCCTCTTCTATGGTAACCCGCCGCCGGTCATCTGGAGTGCTCCGCCCGCCACTGCATATCTAGAAAAAGAGGGAGCGGGGAAGGAAGAACAACCGTTTGACTTTGGCACATGAGCTGGTGGGGTTTGGCTAGGTAACATAATGGAAATGTATCGGACTGCAAATCCTTGAATGACGGTTCGACCCCGTCCTTGGCCTCGGGGAGTAGCAGGCTGCACGGAGCGATCATTAATCAAAGGGGGCTTCCCAACAAAGGAAATAAAAAGACAACATTCTAGAACTTCTAAAAACAAAAGAAATGGAAGATACATGAGAAGGAGCTTTCTACGTAACGCTTCCATAGAATGAATTCGGTAAGGGTAGAATACGCCCCATGGCCGATCGAAGGTCCGGTGCCACTTTCACTTCAATTTATCTGACCTTCAATCCATCTTTCTTTGTCTAGCCAGCTCATAACCAAATCTTAGACCAGGCTGACACAAATAACCTTTTTCGTTTTGGTTGAGGAAAAGGAAGAAACCCCAGCAACCAAGTGATTCTGGCCCCAAAAGTGGAGACCGAACAACCGCCAAGTTGTCAAGGACACGTCTGAAGAGGAGGCGGGCGCCTTATCAGTTTACCACCCTACCCACTAATGGACTCTTAGGGAGCGGGCAGGCGAACAGGAACTTGCCGAGAACCCTAACCGCTTGACTGACTGGAATACTCAATTTCATTAAGGTCGAGGATGAATGAAACCAATCATCATCGCGCAAGCGAAGCCGAAAAATAGACCGCTGCACAATGACTAGGACTCGTGTATGAGGAGTTTTGAGCATGAGCTACCACTCATGCAGAAAGACCCGCAACTCTCGAAGAGGAAGAGGATACCAACCGCTTGAATCACTGTAGCAAAACCTCCCTTTACTCAATGGATAGCCCTTATTTAAGAGAAAAAAGAAGAAATGAGGGAGAAACTAGTGATGATTGTCATGAATGCAGCCTTCGAGGACATGTACAATCTTGTCTTTTCTCCTATCAACATGGTGCACCTCCACGTAGAGGGCCCCGTGGAGACTTTGACCAAATTAATAGGGAGAAATTGCTTGACATTTTGATTAAGGAAGAGAATCCAGGATTCACGCTTTTTTCGTTCGATATGTGCTGATGCGTACTCCTGTTATCGATGGACGGGGGAGGTGAATGACGAGACCGGATGGCTTGGTTTAACCTAACCCTTTTTTGATGGCGAATCTTGATTGACTAACATTAGGAACCGATTTGGAGAAAGAAGAAGCATGGCATGAGGACGGAAAAATTGTCGATAGCGAATTACTTGACTCTATAGATGGAGGGAGGGCCCCCCAACTCAAGCACGAAATCCATGTTGAGTCAACAATCATCAAGAAGGGCACCACCAAGCGAGATCGAGACCAGCACCTTTCCCTTGGATAGGGTTCCAAACCTGCCTTCTTCAAATATCCAAAAAGGTCGGACTAACAAGCGAGAAACGTCGACTTTGATAAAGAAGGAAAGGGGGGCGCGCTAGCTTACTAATAATAGTGGACTTTTTCAGTTTGACCAGAATCAATTCCATTATAGAATAGTAGAAGTGCTACTTAGTAGTCAAAACTCAGAGAGAGAGAGAGAGGAGACTCTTTCATACCTGCTAACTCCTAGGATGAGAAGTAGGTCCTTTGTTTTTGGAAGGAATAGTTTCAACCTTTGTTGCCACTCGGTAGAGTGAGTCTACTTAGCGAACTGGTAGGACGATTGATCCATATGAATCATGAGAGTGGATGGTTGACCGCCGCCCCCTTGTCTTGGAGGCTCTCCAGCCGGGGCTTGCTATTGTAACCTTTTCTCCCAATGTATGTGAAAAAGAGTGACTCACCCCTTTCCCTTTTTTATTCGGTTAGAAGTTGGTCCAAACAATGAGAGTGGGCTTCCTTAAGTTGGTTGTTCCTCAGTAACTTAGTGGTAGAGCGGTCGACTGCTAATTGATTGGTTGTCGGTTCAAATCCTACTTGAGGAGAATTTAGAGTTCTTGCTTTTTTGACCTAGAGACCCCTGTCCTTCTCCTGAGTTTCTAAACGGGAAGAATCGTGGGACATCAAAAGTGGGAAGTTGTTCGTTTTGATTCCTCACTCTCGTATAGAAAAATTGGGTTCATTCTCTTAGGGAGAAGAAGGATCATTCTTAGGGAGAAGAAGAGGATCCACTGGGAATGAATGGGAAGACAATTCCACTAGTGTCATTCAAAGAAGGAAGTGGAATTCAAAGAAGGAAAAAACAGGGTGACGATTTAGGTAGTCTCGATAGATGTAGGGCAATGGCTAAAGCTCTGCCAGCTTCTTGTAGACTGAACTCTCTTCTCTTTAGTTTAGGCTCTGATTTTTTTTTTTGGGTGTGGGATGGTCTAAATTAGCTTCTAACTAGTGGCAACGAAGTTCTTGATAATAAGGGGGGAAGGAAGATCTCCACTCATTTCATTCATTCAGTGCCTGCGGTGAGGCGCGACCCAGAACAAAGAAAGGGGGAAAGCTTGCTTGTTGTAGCCCTCTTTTTGTATACTAGGCTTGGTAAATGTAAGCTATTTAAGTAGGCTCTCGAGAAGGGTAGACTCGCAGCTCAGCGGAAGAGCCTGACTTTCGAAATAACTCTTAGTCAAGCGGGAGCGCCCAACCTATGGGCTTTGAAAGGATAGGGGAAGGGAATAAAACAAAGAGAGTCACTCCTTTTAGGAACATGGCTTGTTCATTTACTTGCTCATTCACTCGCAGCTTAGCCAGAAGCGAGGAAGGGGGAAGTGTCGAAGTTTTGCCCCTTGCTTTACAGAGATTGTTATGAAGTGACTAAATGACTCAATTCTCTGGAACACTAGCTAAGCTAATAAATAGTAATTAGTCCCTCAAATCAAAAAGCTTATTGATTGATTCAAGGCGCGGTCTTCCTTATTAGAACCCATTGAGGGGGGCCTCAGCCTGGGAAGGGGAGAGTGGCTGAGCAGTCAAAAGCGACAGACTGTAAATCTGTTGAAGTTTTTCTACGTAGGTTCGAATCCTGCCTCTCCCACTTGGTTGTTATAGACTGAAGAGAAGAGAAAAGCGGCATTCTTCATCGTAGGAAGGTCCAGCGAGCTTCGCTTTTTCTTTTTTTTCGTGGCGTGAAGTGAAATTATCTCGTATTTCAGTTTAGAGAGGTTGGCAAATTACTACGATCTATAGATTCCCATCGATAGACAATCCCAACCAGAATAGAAGCGAGTGGCTTCCGGTTTTTCTTGTAGTCATTGTCTTTAGTTTATGTAGTGGTCGGCCTTCCCTTCCTACATGCACGCGCTCGCCAGAATGGCTCCTTGGTTCTGCACGAAGCCAAGCCAATACATACGATAACTGAAGTCAAGACCCCCATTTCATAGCGCTTGGGGAACGCAAGTTTGATCGAGGATTGCAGAGGTGGAAGAAATCGATATGGATTTATGAGTCTTTATGCGAGCCGTATGCGGTGAGAGTCGCACGTATGGTAACGAGGGGGGTTCGCGTCTATATGTGTAGTGTGGTGTTTGGACCTACCTACCTTATTTGTTCCATGATCTATGGGTCTATTGGAGCTACCCACTTCGATCAATTAGCCAAGATTTTGACCGGATACGAAATCACTGGTGCTCGATCTAGTAGTATTTTTATGGGGATTCTATCTATTGCTATAGGATTCCTATTCAAGATCACTGCAGTTCCTTTTCGGGCAGCTGTAGGACAGACGACCGCCTATAGGGGTAGGGTAGGGTGGGTGGTACCGCTCAGATTGTGGCCAATCTTCCTAACCGCGCGCGGGCCGAGCTTAGAGCGCGTGAAACTTATCACTACCTCGTAAGGGCGTTGAGACCATAACATGTTACACGAAAGCGCCTCTTTCTCTGTAGTCTTGTCACACAGCAGCTCGCCTAGAAGAGCCACTCGCTCTGTAGTGTTGTCACATAAGATAAGAACTAGTCCGTTTGATGGCCGGGCGAATCTAAGTTCTCTTTTGGTCAACTGTCCACCCAGTCAAGTGCAAAAAACACAGTAGAATCACACAAGGCACCAAGCTGGTGTGCTTCCTGCCCGCGAGGAAAGAAAGAAGAGCGACAGGGTTGAGTTCAGATTTGACTGTTTGCAGATGGGAGCAGATTACCCAAAAAAAACCCTGGGAACAATGAAAAAAAAGATATCTCGGTAACGAAAACTATGGGGGGTTGTATTGGCAAGATCCAACAGTAAACAGCTGCCCAAAAGAAAAACCACCTGGAAGTTTGAGGACCTTTAGTACCCTACCCCTAAACCACCTTCACGCCAAGCAAGACCGCCCTTGTCCCTTTCCTTTTTCCATTCCGCCTCCCCTTCTTTCTGAGCTTTGTATACCTCTTTTTTGACCTACTTGACGAAAGGGAACAAATTTTCGTTTTCGGGTTTATGGATTGGATTCAGTCAGCTAAACTCATTCCTTTTTATTATGTTGTGACGGGTTACCGGCGAACGCTTCCAAAGGCGACCCTCTCGAGTTTCTGGCAGTTTACATCATTGAAGAAGTCTTTCGTCATCCTACCAAACTAAAGAAGTCACTATCAAGCAGCGAGCCCTTATTAGTTTAGTAAAGTCAAGCTAAAAAAACGAGAGATTAACCTAGGTGCGCTACGCCCGACAACTCATAAAGTAGGGCTCCTTCCTATTGACTAAAGTTGGATTCTTCGCTTTCCTTGAGAATGAAAGAAAGTAGCTATTCAGCCCCTACTACTGACTTTTGACTTTGTTTGATTCAAAAGGCGAACAGCCAGCCCCCCCAACTAGTCGTATGAGGTGGGGTGCTTGTGGTAAGCCGCTTTGGATATGAGGAATTCCTAAAAAAAGAAAAGGCAAAGTCCGGTATTTGATGAAGATCTTTCGATCAATAGATAGGATTTAGTGTTGGATATAGGGGATAGGATCCATTCTTTCTCAATTTGATTTAGAGAGAGAGATATAACGATATCAAAACAAAGAAATAGGGAGATGATAAAGAATACATAGACAAAAAAAGGGATGTCTATTCTATTCCTCTTTGTTTCTTTTTCAGTGCAAGACAGGAAACCTCATTTGGTCATCTCTGCAGCTTTCTTTTGTATTGAACGCATGGCCTAGGACCTAAAAATCATCGCCTAAGTTCATACCCCTCTTTCTTTGAATCAGGCTAGTAAAGAATGCCTACCAAGTTCAGATAAGGAAATGCTTCCCCCAACCATTAAAGGCTCGACGAAAGGAGCGGAAGGAAAACGCTTTCGAAGATCGTGATTGGATTCCTTTTTCATAAAAAACGAAGAAGGCCAAGAATGGTCTACAGTGCGTCTTATCTGAAGGGAACACACTTTTTTGAAAGCGGTGTTATGATTGTCGAGCCCTCTCCTCATTATGCCCGCTGGCCTATTAGGTAGGATAGTAGTCTTCGGGCTTTGCCTGCCCTTTCTCATCGAGAATTTTGGCTTGGCCCGAGAAAGCGCTGGCAACAAAAGGAAGGGGTCCATTTAACTACTACGCCCGCCCCCTTCTTAATCAATGGGGCAGCAGGTTCAGCATCCACTAGAAAAGAGAGAATCCACTTTAGATAACCATGCCTCTGCTAGGCGGCAGCGTGTGGAATAGCCGAGAGCGAACCTTTTTGAATATATAATCCAAGTCGAGAGTGGAGTTACGAAAAGAGCCATCTGATGGAAAACAACTTTCACGTTCGGTTTAGAGAGCACTTTTTTCGTTGATCATTCCTCGTTCCCTTTTGTGTGAATTCCACAGAGGTGAATTCTCAACTTGTGGGGCCCTATCTATTCCATCTCTCATGCCCCAAAGAAAAACCCCCTACCCTTCGGACTCCATATCTCGTTTGACTCTATATATGTGGGTACCTGATATCTATGAGGGTTCATCCACCCCGGTTACAACATTCATTTCTATTGCGCCTAGAATCTCTAATTTTGCTAATATTTCACATCTTTCTATTTATGGTTCCTATGGAGCTACATTGCAACAAATCTTCTTTTTCTGCAGCATTGCTTCTATGATCTTAGGAGCACTGGCCGCCATGGCCCAAACAAAAGTCAAAAGACCTCTAGCTCATAGTTGAATTGAACATGTAGGTTATATTCGTACTGGTTTCTCATGTGGAACCATAGAATGAATTCAATCACTACTAATTCGTATCTTGATTTATATATTAATGACGATTGAGGTTCGGCTTTGTTTACAGTATTTGAAAGGGAATATCAGAAAAGGTTCTCATCAAATAGCGCTTGACCTTCTGAAAGAGTCTTTGAAGGGGGAGGAGTTAAAGAAAAATCAGGAAAGAAGAGATGAGAGAGAGACCGACTGGCCATATGTCTTGTTCTAATCTTTCTTCTTCTTTTTTTACAGTTCAATCCGGGAGAAGTTCAGTGAAGGCAATGGAATAGCTTTACCGAGTTCACAATCAAGATCATTAATCTTTCGGCTTAGTTACCGTTCAAGAAGAGGAGTTCAGTTCGTAAACAAACTATCATTCATCGTTAGTCTTTGGTTACAGTGAATAAATAGGTAAAAGGAAGGTAATATCGATCGGAAAAGCTGAATGAGTAAGTACTGAGGAAGAGAGTCAAAGAGAGTTAAAGAAGGAAAAGGCAATTGAATTGCTTTACTACCGAGTGCAAGAAGGAATAAGGGTTTCAGGTTTTCGGCTTTCTCTTTGGCTTTTACCTTGGGAAAGAAGGAGAATCAATCTTCAGTCTTTGCTTTGTTTACAGTTCTGGATTGAATAACGAACTCGAGAAGAGAACGAATTAATTGAATATGCTTTACTACATAGTCTTTGAATCAATAAGTTCCGGAGGTAAGATCAGCCAAGCCCAGTTGGAGAGATTCAGTCGAATGAATAAGCAGTTGAGGATTAACTTACAAATTACCTTGTTCAAGAGTTAAAGAAGGAGAAGAGAAAAAGAAAGAAAGAATGAAAGAATAGTGAGGATTTACTTTAAGTTAAGTCTCATTCATCTTT